CAGGGAGCCCGATGCGGGACTCGATCCAGGGACTCCAGGATCATGACCTGAGCCGAAGGCAGTCGCCCAACCAACTGAGCCACCCAGGCGCCCTTCCGGAGACTTTTTCACCCCAAGACCCCACAAACCCTTTTATCACAAACACGTCATTTTGGTAGAGTCTCTCCGCTTTTCCGGGCCTCAGTTTCCCCATCTGTATGACAACGTCTAACTCATCTTTAGCATTTTACGCTCTGGAGAAACTGAGTCCCACGCTGTTACTTGTCCCTCTTTATCTTGGCCATTTGGCTCCAGATGTTGTTCCAGGCGTCCCTCATGCTCTTCTCTTGGGCATGTGCCCCCGCTCCTAACCAGAGGCTTCGACACACCTGACCAGCCTGGTTATCGGAGACAGGCCGTGTGCCTGCTTTGCTTCAGGCCGAGGCCTCTTTCTTCCTGCCCAGAAACCTGTGGAGGGTTTTCACACTCTCCTTCTCGTCCCTCACAACCTCTACTATAGAAGCAGCTCCTCTTTTTCTCCATCCTTTGCTGGTTTTCTAGGTGGCATGAGAATGGAAACAAAACAAAACAAAACAAACAAACCTCAGGCCCTGGAAAAGGCAGAGCTGGGTTCACACCCCACCTTTCCTCCAACCCTTGTTATAACCTCGAATAACTTAGCTTCCTCTCTCTGTCCTTGGCCCCCTCACCTGTGAACTGGGACGGTGACAATCACTGCTGTCATTTATGAGCTCCCCAGCACTTAACCAGTATTTTCTCTTTTGATCCTCATAAGAACTTGATACATTCATTCATGCATTCATTCACTTGTTCATTCATTCATTCATCCATTCGTTCATTCATTCGCGAGTCCCTGTTATATATAGGCAAGGCACTATTCTAGGCCTTGGGGATAGAACAGTAGATAAAAGTCCCCGCCCGGGGCCCAGTCGGTTAAGTGTCTGACTCTTGGTTTCGGCTCAGGTCACGGTCTCACGGGTAGTGAGATCGAGTCCTGCATCGGGCCCCGTGCTTGGCAGGGAGTCTGCTTGAGCGTCTCTCCCTTTGCGCCCCGCCTCCCCCCAACCCCCGACTTGTGCACACACTCTTTCACTCTCTCTAAAGTAAATAAATAAATCTTAAAAAAGAAATGTCCCTGTCCTTCGGGAGCTGATATTTTGGTGGGGAGACAATGGGCAGGGAGCTTTGTAACACTTAAAAGTCCACAAAAGAGGAAATAGAGGCTCAATCAGGATGAAAACTCATCCTTGTTTGCCCCAGGACTCTCCTGGTTTTCGCTCTCAGAGTCCACATCCTGGGAACACCCTCAGTCCGGGGAAACTGAGGAGATTGGTCACCCTCGCTCAGTTAAGTTAAGCGACTTGCCCAGGGTCACATGGCTGGGTGTGTGCCAGAGCCAGGCTGCGAACCCGGGTATGTCTGACCCCCAGCCTGGGCTGTTACTGCTGCCTCTTGGATTCATCTGCGGAATTTGGAAAGCCCTCTATTCTCACCTTCTTGTTGTTAATGCACAAAAGTGGTCAACTCTCCTGAGTTATGCAGAGAGAGTCAGAAGGCCCAGAGAGGGGAAGTCACTTGGTCAAGGCCACACAGAGGGTCAGAAGTGAAGCCAGGTCTGACTCTCCCTTCTTCCTCTTCTCCTCCCCTCCCCTGCCCCAAGTTCTTTCACCTTGTTATCTTCGAGATGCCCGGGGGACAGAAGGAGGTCACTACATACTGAGGGCCCTACTCTGTGCTAGGTGCGGCACCAGAAACTTCTGCCAAGCTGGTGGATTCATTTTCAGGGTGACCCTGGGAGGTCAGGGTTACTCTTAGTTTACAGATGAGGAGATTGAATCTCCTGAGGCAAAGTAGGGGGGGAGGCGGGATGGGAGGAGGCTAGGAGTCCCTGAGAGGGTCCTGCCCCTGCAACCAAGCCTCACAGCAGGAAGGAGAATGGTCCAGAGGAGAAACGCTTTTCCGTTTCCTGGTTTTATCTCCAACTTGGCTGCTGAAACCCCAACGGAGTCCAGTTCTTGTGGGCTGGAGCCGTTTTCCCCTTTTACAAAACTAGGCCGTATTGAGAATGTCCTGCCGTTCAGGGCCACAGGGTTGCCAGGAGGCTTGGTCTGGGAAGAGGGCTGTGAGTGTAGAGGAGGGAAAGTTGAACTTGGCCCTTCCGGGCATAAAAAAGTCCCCTTGTTCTGCCTCAGCAGGAGCCCACAGGGTATTTCCCTGCTGTGTGGGGGCCCAAGCAGCTTCAAGGTCCAAAGCTGCTAAGCCTTTTAAACTTCAGAGGACCCAGCCAGCCCAGCCCCCAAGGCCGGCCCTGAGCGGTTGTGCTGGAAGACCCGAGTTCTAAAGTCAGACCTTGCACCCACTAGGTCCCAGCTTGGTTCATAGTAGGTGCGCCATAAGTGGATGTTGAGTTTACTTGAACCGAAATTAAATCCCGGCAGCATCACTTACTGGCTGTGTGACCTCAGATAACTTACTTCGCCTCTCTGAGCCTCCTTTTCCTCATCCGAACAACGGGGCCAATAACCCCAGCCTCCTGAGAATGTGGGGCGAAGCACTTAGCCCTGGGGTCGGTACACAGTAGGTACTCCATGCATGTCAGTAAACTACTTCCTTTGCACTTGACCCTATGTTGAGGCTTTTACACTGGCCATCTTGTTAAAACTCCCATCTTTCTCCAAGGTAGACTGTTATTATCGCCCCCCCACGCCCCCGTTTCCCAGAAGGTGAAGGCTCATGAGCGTCTTGCCCAAAGTCAATGGCCATTAGGTGGCAGAGTTGAGGTATGAGATTTGAAGCTGGAGCCCATGGTCCTCACCGCAAGCCCCCAAGTCTACAGCCGGCCAGACGCTCCGCTCAGCCCTATTTATGTTCCTGGCTTGGGGCAGGGTCTTCGGGGGAGGCTGCCCAGCCAAAGCTGCATCACTCACCCGCTGAGCCGTGACCTTGGGCAAGTTGCTTGGCCTCTCTATGTTCCCATTTTTCCATTTCTGAGGGTCATTAAGAGGATCAGGTATAGAAGGACTTGGCGGTGTCTGGCACTTTCTAAGCCTTTCAGGGGACGGTGATGATGGTGGTGATGGAAGACTGCAACCTTCCCCCCCCTGCAGGCCGGCACGATGCGCGTGGTGGTGATTGGAGCCGGGGTCATTGGGCTGTCCACTGCCCTGTGCATCCACGAGCGCTACCATTCGGTCCTGCCATCGCTGGACGTCAGGGTCTATGCAGACCGCTTCACCCCGTTCACCAACAGCAACGTGGCTGCCGGCCTCTGTCAGGCCTACCTCTCGGACCCCAGCAACCCACAGGAAGTGTGAGTGAGGGTCCCACAGGGCGGCCCGGGGAACTGGTGGGGCTGAGTTTGAAGAGGGGATGCTCCCTCTCAGGGTTCCCGTCACCAAGAACAAGCCCCTTGTCAAAGCTTAGAAGAAAATACTAATAAATAGTAAGGCCTACTATGTGCCAGACAAATGGAGGCTTTCCTCCATGCCTCCCCTAAACTGGGTGGCTGTGGATGCCATGTGCATGGATGGATCAGGAATACATGGTATTTTTTTTCCTAGTTTATTTATTTAAAGATCATTTTCATCTGATTTCCCCAGTGGCTAACAGGAAACAGAACTCTTTAGGGGCACCTGGGTGGCTCAGTCGGTTAAGCGTCTGCCTTCGGCTCAGATCATGATCCTGGGTTCCTGGGATCGAGCCCCCACATCGGGCTCCCTGCTCAGAGGGGAGTCTGCTTCTCCCTCTCCCTCTGTCACTGCCCTTGCTTGTGCTCTCTCTGTCTCTGTCTCTGCTTCTCTCTCAAATAAATAAATAAAATCTAAAAAAAAAAAAAGAAAACTGAGCCCTTCAAACCCCAGCAATAATTGTAAAGAAGGACAAAATGCACTAAAGTCCTTGATACTGGGTACAGTAGGGAGCAATTTTGCCCTCAGAGACGTATTTTTTTTTCCATATATAAATTCATAAAAAGATCTTTCAGTTTATTTGAACTCATTCTAATTGCCATTTTTAACAGCTATATTTAACAGCTTAGAAATCTAGCTCCCCTGAATTTGCCCATTGTGACAATCATTTTCATTTAACAATTTCTTTTTTTTATGTTTTTATTTTAGTTCCAGTTCGTTAACATACGGTGTTACGTTAGTTTCAGGTGTACTATATACTGATTGAACGCTTCCATACATCGCCTGGCACTCACCACAAGTGTTTTCCTTAATCCCCATCACCTATTTCCCACACCCCCCACCCACCTCCTCTCTGGGAACCATCATTTTGTTCTCTACAGTTAAGAGTCTCTCTCTCTCCCCCTTTGTTCATTTGTTTTGTTTCTTAAATTCCACATATGAGTGAAATCATAGGGCATTCGTCTTTCTCTTACTTCGCTTAGAATTATACTCTCTAGCTCTGTCCATGTCGTTGCAAAAGGCAAGATTTCATTCTCTTTTACGGCTGAGTAATATTCCACTGTATATACAGACCACATCTTCTTAACCACTCACCAATTGATGGACACTTGGGCTGCTTCCGTATCTCGGCTATTGCTAATAATGCTGCTATGAACATCGGATGCACGTATCCGTTTGAATTAGTGTTTTTGTATTCTTCGGGGAAATACCCAGTAGTGTGATTGCTGGATCATAGGGTAATTCTAGTTTTAACTTTAAGAGGAACCTCCAGATCAGGAATACTTGTAAATGGGTGGATGGATGATCAGGTGTAGCAAAGACGTTGCAAAGGTTATTTTGTCTGTGTAGAAACCACAAACTGCCGGCTGCTTCAGCAAAGAAGCCCCAAGTGTGTAATGACTCAAACAGAAGTTACGTTCTCCCATAAATTCCAAAACCGATGTTCCTGATCATTGGGTGGCAATTCAGGGGCCCGGGCTCCTTGCATCTCGCAGCTCTGCTGTCCTCCTCTGTGGCTTCTGATGTCACATCTGATGCCACAGTGACTGTGTCACCTTACCTTCTGATGTCACTATGCTGTGCTTTTGGAAGGAGCACAGCATGAGGACGACATGTGTGGTCTTAGGGTACATTGGCCAGAATGCAGTCACATAGGCCACACCTGACTGCATGGGACTCTAGGCGATGTAGCCAGTTATGTGCCCAGGAAGAAGAGGAGGAAAGTGTTTGGGAGCAGCAAGCTAAGTTCTCCTGCTGGCATTTATACGGGGGGGAGGGGGAGGTGCTTGGAGTGAGCCTGAACTGTGGGGCAGATCTCAAAGCAGGCCTAAGCCTTCATTTAAACTCGCAGCTACATGATCCCAAGCCCGAGGTGGGCTCCAAATGGTTGTGATGGATCATCCCTTGTTTCCCCCCTTCTCTTTCCTATTAGTGGGGAAATACTAGAAAGTCTGGGCTTAGGGAAGACCCATAGGCATTTGGGACGCTGCAGAAGTGAACGTGGTGGATTTCTGGATTTTGACATATCCCCACCAGCCTGGTCACAATCCCATGCAAGCCAACCCTCAGAGTTTTCTTGTCCAGCTCGGGGTATTAGGTGACCGAGAATCTGTGGGATCCTTCCAGACATTGGAACCAGCAGACCTTTGACTATCTCCTGAGCCACATCCATTCTCCCAATGCTGCAAACATGGGCCTGGCCCTGATCTCAGGCTACAACCTCTTCCGTGAAGATTTTCCGGTGAGTGAGGGGTCCTTGTTCACAGACCAGGGCTGGGAGCCTGAGTCTGGGGAGTACTTTGAGCCTTGTGGGTGACAGCCTCTTGCATTCAAATCAGGTTTCCTTTAAATTCTATTTATGCTTTAAAATTACTTTTGTTTCCAATTTTGTTCTTAAATTGGCAGAGACCAAAGAACTTTCTGATGAAACAGGGGAACTAGCCTTTGGTTGAGTCAAACCCAGACATGTCCTGTAGTGGTGAGGATTTCATGCTGAAGTCACAAGGTTGCCTGTGTCCCTGGAGGTGCCAGGGCTTTTTGCCAAGATAGACTAAAACACTCATCATGGCACATGAGCCCTTACTATTTACCAGGCCCTATGTTAACTACTTTACGACTAGTGACTTATTTAATTCTCATAATAACCAACAAGTAAGTGCTATCATTAGCCTCTTTGTACAATGAGGAAATAGAAGCTCAGAGAAATGGAGTAACTTGCTCAAGTCACAAATCTCTTATGTGGCAGAACTGGGATTTGAACCCAGGCTGTTTGTGATCCCATGGTGCCTAATGCGTTAAGAAGGGCACAGCCTTGGGGGATGTTCTTAAGTTGCTGGAGGGGATGGTTGGGCGGGGTGTCCAGAAACCCAGGCCAGCTCTCTAAGGCTGAGTCAGTGTTTAGCACCGGGCTACAGGCATCACCCATATTATCTGTTCTCTTTCACTGGACCAAGAGTGATTAATTCCATTATACAGACGAGAAAATGGGAGTCTCAGAGAATTCAAGGTGGTCCGTGGGGAGGCCCAAAACTCCACCAGGTTGTCTGACCCTGTGCTCGGCTGCCTCCCACCCTCACCCCTTGATATAACCCTCATTGTCAACAGTTTCTCTCCTATTTCTGACTCTTACCCTATCACTCGCCCTCAGCCTTATTCTCACCCTTCCTTCGTATAGCATCATGGTTAAGACCATGGACTCTGAAGCCAAACTGTGTTGGTGCAAATCTCAGCTCCATCGTTTATTAGCTGTGTGACTTTAGACAAGTTGCTTAACCTCTTTAAGTCTCAATTGGCCCAGCTGTAAAAATGGAGATAAGAATAGTATGTATTTCACTGGATTGTTGGGGATATTAAATGGAGTGGTATAAGTAACATACTTGGAACAGTGCCTTACATGTGGTACACATTGTACAACTTTTTATTGACTTTCACCCATCTCTGGGCCTCCTTCTCTCCTTCCTTGGCAGGATCCATTCTGGAAGGACACAGTTCTGGGATTTCGGAAGCTGACCTGCAGAGAGTTGGACATGTTCCCTGATTACAGGTGAGGTTGTTATGGGCAAAGGGGCTGAGGTGCTATGATTCAGACAGATCTGTCCAGAAGGCAACAGAAGATGGAGGTACCAAGTTTCCTATTCCACCCCAAGCCAAGAGCCACTGATACCTTGGATTCCTGCTGCTCTGTTCAGCTCCTTTGGAGAAGCCACCCACCCAATAAGGGACCTGGGCTAAGATGGTGGGGGATCACAGATCTGAAGCCCAGAAGCTCCATGTCCCTACTCTCTTTTGTAGATGAAGAAACTGAGCTTCAGAGAGCCTAAATGACTTCCCAAGGTCACACAGCCAAGTGACCAAAATGGGATTCTAACCCAGTCTGTGTGACTCCAAACGCCTCTATTCTTTCCCTTGCAGCCTGATGTCTCTTTGGTCCTCCCTTCACCCTACCCCATGCCTGAATACCTTCTAAGAATGCACATCCGGTCTCCATGTGCACACCCCAATGTCAGGGATGGCTTTTCTGATAGAAAAAATTTCCTTGCACTGAAAACCAGTCCCCATTTGAACTTCACTCAGTGGTCCTGGCTCTACCCTTGGGGGCCCCCTAAAGTGAGACTGCTCCCACCTCCATTTGAAAGTCTTTGAATATCGCTCTGATTCTGATTCTTTATTACCACTTTTGCCTGTTTTTGACTCTAGCTATGGCTGGTTCAACACAAGCCTGATTGTGGAGGGGAGGAGGTATCTACCATGGCTGACTGAAAGGTGAGAATTTCAACTTTGGTTTAAGGAAAGCACCTCCCAAGGACCAGGGTGTCTACTGACAATTGTTCATGGGATTTGTTTTTGTATTGACCAACCCCAAATGTTAAAGGACAACTCTTAGGCTTGGTGGGAGCTATCCTTGGTTCTGATCACTTCTGTATACTAAACCATGGTTTCCATATCTGATTGGGCATCAGAACCATCTGGGCAGATCTTTACATGTGATATTTATTACTGACCTCACCAAAATCCATAATGTTTGTGTAATGGTTTTAAATGGATTCTCGTAAGTTTTCCAGACATATTTACATCATCTGCAAAACAGAAGTTGCCTTTTATTTTTATAACTCATTTTTTTTTCTTGTCTAACCGCTGTGGTAACTACCTCCAGAACAATGTTAACTAATACAGGGTATAGTGGTTGTCTCTGTCTTGTTTCTGATGTTAATAGAAATCTTGTAGTGTTCTAAATTAGCAAACATTAGCTTGAGAGACATATTTATATTTATATTCATATTAAGGAAGATTCCATATATTTCCTATGTTTTACTATTTTATTAAGATTTTAAAAAAATCTAGAATGGATTGCAGCTTTTATCAAATCACCTGAGGAGCTTTTAGAAATACAGATTTCAGGACCCCACTTTATATCTACTGAATCAGATCCTCTGGGGTGGGGCTTAGAAATTTGTGTTTTAAGAAGTTCCCTGAGTGATTCTAATTATCAGCCAGGTTTCGGAATCATTGCACTACAACATAGTTATTTCTCCTAACGCTAGGATACTTATGACTCCTATCCAGCCTCTTCCTAGACAGAATATCCCCACTTTTTCTATCTTGAGGAAATAGTCCTGAGGTTATGCTTCACCTTTCATAGGGTTTACTTCCTGTTCTTTTGATGTTTCTCCTACATCTCTAATAATGACAGATATTTTTCCTCTGGGACATTTTGAGGGAGGGGTGGATGTCCCCAGTCCACCTTCCTCCTCATGCCTTGCTTCTGACAAAGGGGCGTTTAGCATTGGTCCAGCTCTGCCCCTCCCCCACCCTGCATCTCATTCCTTTTGATGTTACAAAGCAATGTGGTGGTAGTAGGAAGAGTTTTGGACTAAGAGGCCTGGGTCTAAGTCCCAATCCCGTCATTAACTCACTGTATGACCTTCACCAAGGCTCTTCTCCCATCTCCATCGGCTGACAAGGGGCTTGAGCCATCTCAGTTTTCCCATGGGACATTTCATGGACCACTAGTCCATGAAGGTGCTTATGAACTGATCTGATCTGACTACACAGCCATTTTCTCAAGGAGCATCCTATGGGACTATCATCCACAGAAGTTTCTTTAGGGAACATCCCCCATGCCATCACCTTGGAGAGATGGGACAAAGAACTGAATACTGGGCTTTTTGATGTGTCTGATCCCCCCAGGTTAACTGAGAGGGGAGTGAAATTCTTCCAGCAGAAAGTGGAGTCTTTTGAGGAGGTGAGTTGCAGGGCTGGAAGGGGCTGGATGTGGGAGAGAGGTGAGGAGGGGAGGCCTCTGCTCCCTGTTGCTGGGTTGGGGGTCCCTTGTCAGACTCCCAGGGTCCCCCTGAGGCCTGTCCCAGGCCTTTCTTGAATCCCAGAAGGACTCAAGCATTCTGTCTTGATGTTGGTGGCTGGAACAAAGGGATGGTAGGATAGTGGTGGACATTAGGGGCTAATCTACCTCTGAGCCTCAGTGGGTTTTAGGACCAGAGAGTTGGCTGCCTCTTACCTGTATCAGCTGCACTCCACTCTTGAGTTCCAGACACTTGGTTGCCTCCTACACAAATCAGGGTTAATGTTTCTGCAAAGTTAAAGCTCTTAGCTGACTTGGCTCCAGAGTAACACCATCATCAATAACAATGATAGTAGCAGCTATCACCATCAAGCACTGGCTAAGTACCAGGAGCTTTGCTGTATAACGTCACTCAATCCTAGCACCTAGAATTGTACTTGGCATGTGAAGGTGCTTGGTAAATGCAGCTACTGGCATTATATAATGAGTACCTCCTCCTGGTTGAGCCCTGATGGGCACTTGGGATACATGGTTGACTCAGACACAGCCCTTATTCCCAAGAAGCTCACAGTCCAATGTAGCAAATGCTGGCTTTTGAATGACAACAATGCCTTGCAATGTGTGTGCCCCATGACAGACCTGTGAGGGGAGTCACTGGCACTGGGCTAGGGGTTTGGGTGCCCATCATGCTATACCCTTGAGCTGTCAAGTATCGCACACATGCACAGAGCCAGGGGTTCCACCACGCCTTCTGAAAATGCCTTGGCAGAGCAGAAGGCAAGAGAATGAAATAAAAAGGATTCAGAAGGAGGAAGAGAATTATCTCTGTGTCTGACTTCTTCTGGGAGGTCCCAAGAAGGTTTTCCCCCTTCCACAGTACTCCTTCCTGAGCACTTTCACACCCAGGGTCACATTGGATCCTCACACAGTCTAAGAACAGATATCACCAGCCCTACTTTATAGTGAAGGCAGCTGAGCCTTGAGGAGATGATGGAACATTTCTGAGGTCACATAGCAGGTAAATGGCGGAGCAGAGATTTGAAGTCCGCTCCTTGGATTCCTCATTGAGCCTCCTCCCTGCTGTTCCATAGGGAGCAGAGAGATGCAGGGTGGAGGGCAGAGGGAAAGAGGGGAGGGAAAGAGCGGCCCTACCAGGGCCTTCACCCCTTCCCATGCCACCTGCTCTGTTCGTTGCTGCCAGGTGGCAAGAGGAGGTGCTGACGTGATTATCAACTGCACTGGGGTGTGGGCTGGGGCATTGCAACCAGACCCTCTACTGAAACCAGGCCGGGGACAAATCATTAAGGTGAGTGTGAAGGTGAGGGATGGAACCTCCTGCTTTTCTTGATAGAGAGATTGTAGCTGCCTGCTTATTTCCTCTCCAAAGATAGAGGATGTGTTGGGGACATCTGTTAGAAGAGCCTCACAGATTTCAGGCAATTGACATGTTAAAGAAGCAAGAAGGACCAACATGACCCCTCCAAACATTCTCTTTCGGGTTTTTTTCATAATA